ATATGATTTTTTGAGTAAACCATCTATTATTTTTAACATACATGTAATATAATCATGCAGTTATGGCTATACAATCAATATGATTTTTTTTTTATTTATTATTTTGGCATAGATAATCTTTTTAAATGACTTTGTAAGATGAACAATTTGAATTATTATGGTGAACCCAGTGATAGGTCCACGATTGCTTGAATTTGACAAAATATTTCGCGTTCTTTATTATTATTATTTTTTGTTCAAAATCTGTTCGGTATGGAATTTTTAAACACAGTTTTATGATTTTTTAATTTGTAATTTATTTTATTTTTAGTAGTGAATTTTTTAAAAATTTTAACCATTTTTTAAAACTTTTTACATTCAATTAATATAGATACACTTACAAGTATGAAATTTGTGAAAAAAATATTTTAAAAATTCATTGAATACAAAAAAAAAAAAAAAAAAAACATAAAATAATAAATGGTTTACTCTAAAAATCATATTTTGTGTCTATTTTATTTTTTGTATAAATAACATGTGATTTGATGATGTTGTTATGATTTCTTGATCAACATAAATTTTTTGCATGAATGTTCTTCTAAGAATTTTTACAAAATAATAATTTAAATTATTAAGATGGATCCATGATGGGTTACTGGCCCTTGACAACAAATGGGTGTTTGTTTCAGCTTTTCAGAACTAACTTATGGCTTTTAGCTTTGAAAAAGTCATTTTGGACTGTTTGGTTAAATTTATTTTAAACAGTTCCTGATTTTAACAGCTTATTTTAACTCAAAAAGTTAATTCTGAGAAGCTGCTCACCCCTTACTTCTGATTATCAGCTTCTGCTGTGGACGTGTTAATTTATGGTTATACTCTTAAATTTTTTTATTTTTTATTTTTTTAAAAATAGAAAAAGACTCAAATGGACTATAGATTATTATTATTATTTTTTATGAGAAATATAGACAAACAAAAAATAAAAATTAATTGAAAAAACTATTTCACAGCTTATTTAACAAACACTACTCAGCAACTTAAATCTATAATCCAACAGTTACACCAAACAGATTAACAATTTCTGATTAAAGTCATAATCTATAATCTGTTAAGTTATAATTTATAAACTGTTTTAACAGTTACACCAAACAAGGCCAAGATCTAGCCCAATAGGAAAGAAAACATGCTATAAACCCCATTTTTATTATCCTAAATTTATTTCGAAAGAGATTGTGTGGTTAGGATTGAATTTATGTGGTATAAAGTTCATATGTTGAATAAATTTAAACTACAAGATGATGATTCTGGATAATTTGTAGGTAGTTAAAATATGAATTTGTAGTATTATTGATAGGAAAAAAGCTTGGTCCTATTATATTTTTTTAGTGATTCCTAAAACATGATATCCAAATTCTGTAAACATAAATTTCAGAACATAAACCTTACACTTTGGATCATTTACCATGTGTATTATCAAGAAATCAAGACAAAATGACATACCTGAATCCATTGATGAACGGTTAAATGGAAGCGTCTGATTGTCAATAAAACCTTAATATTGACTTTATTAGAGTCTTCTAATCCTTTCCCCTTTGGTGCCTTATGTTTCTCCTTGAGAGAATTTAGAAACAGTGTTCTTATTTTCACTTCACCTTAGGAAGGAATAGGGACCATAACCTTTTAAAGGTTGTAATTGGTTTTCATAACTGAAAGGTAATGAAAACCAATAAATTAACCATTATTGGCTTTAAAACTGAAAGTAATGAAAACCAATAAATTAACCATTATTGGTTTTAAAACTGAAAGGTAATGAAAACCAACTTTAACCAATATGTTTTAATTTCTATTTCTGCCCCTCATAGAAATATAAATTGTACAACTAGTATCTACACATTAGGTCCATAACACATATACCCTTAAGCCTATTAACTAAATTGAATCACTTAAATTGTAGGCTTCTTATGATATTATAAATATTTTACAACCAATCAGTTGTTCTCACAAAATCTCATCACTTTTGGTGAGAAATAAAATAGTAATTTTATATTTTTCATCATTTCTTACAATTTCTCAGTCAATTGATAAATCAAATATGATTAAAAAAAAAAATCACTTTCTCATTATTTCTTACCAAATCACCATATATCCAAATGATTCTAAAGGAGAGCCACAACTTTTCCTTAGTTTGACATGCACAGTGGGTAAATAAACGCATTACTAACTTATTATAGCATTACTAACTTATTATAAAGTATGTGTACAGCTGTTGGTATCGATACTAATACAATATGAATATGTATATATAAATGGATAAAGATTGGTAGCTCGAAAATTTACCTCCCCTAATTCTCTTAATGTCCAAAACGACGTCGTTTTGGGCATTAGGCTTTTTTTTTCTTTTTTTTCTTCCATTTTCGAAGCTTTTCAAGCTCAAACACAGACGGGGAAGAGGGAGAGGGAGAGGGAGAGGGAGAGAGAGAGAGGGAGAGCGGAGAGGAGAGAGGGATACACACACACACACAGAGGCCCCCCTGCATTCCGGCTGACCGTCCGATCGTCGCAGCTCCGCCATCGTCGCAGCTTGGAAATGGATCGTCGCAGCTCCAGTCCCTTCTTCTTCCTCCTCCTCCTTCCCTCTCTTCTTCTTCTTCCCTTCTTCCTCTTTTTCTTTCTTCTTCTCTGCTTTCTTTCTTCTTCTTCGTCTCTTCTGATTTTCTGATTGACAAAAAATAATAATAAATTAAAACGACGAAACGACGTCGTTTCGTCATTTAGGGAGGGATTCGGGGAGGCTATGTAAACATAAAATTTCAGAACATAAACCTTACACTTTGGATCATTTACCATGTGTATTATCAAGAAATCAAGACAAAATGACATACCTGAATCCATTGATGAACGGTTAAACGGAAGCGTCTGATTGTCAATAAAACCTTAATATTGACTTTGTTAGAGTCTTCTAATCCTTTCCCCTTTGGTGCCTTATGTTTCTCCTTGAGAGGATTTAGAAACAGTGTTCTTATTTTCACTTCACCTTAGGAAGGAATAGGGACCATAACCTTTTAAAGGTTGTAATTGGTTTTCATAACTGAAAGGTATGAAAACCAATAAATTAACCATTATTGGTTTTAAAACTGAAAGGTAATGAAAACCAATAAATTAACCATTATTGGTTTTAAAACTGAAAGGTAATGAAAACCAACTTTAACCAATATGTTTTAATTTCTATTTCTGCCCCTCATAGAAATAGAAATTATACAACTAGTATCTACACATTAGGTCCATAACACATATACCCTTAAGCCTATTAACTAAATTGAATCACTTAAATTGTAGACTTCTTATAAATGATAACATCACATTTAATTATGTGGTCCCATTGAGACATTATCTAACAAATTCATCTCTAATAATATGACACTAGGTTAAATCTAATATAATAAAATTTTAAACCAATTAATAACTTAAAATGAAATAGTTTACATAATTATGAATAAATTTAAATTAAAAATCTCTACTGGGTTGGTTTGGAAATATATACTATTTTAGTAACCTTTTTTAAAAAAAAATTTTTTTTGGTTAAAATATGAAGTGAAAATAATTAGTATATTTTAGATAATTTTTTACTTTTTTTATTAAAAAATATTCAAAAAATAGAGAAGAAAAGAAATTTCTAACATTTTAAAATAATTCTTTGACTTTTTGACTCTTTGGATATTACCAAACTCAGGCTCTTTTGGGAAGAACTAAAAAAAGCTAAAAATCAACTTTTAATTCATTTTAAGTTATATTATTTCTCATATTTTATATTGGGAAGAACTAAAAAAACTAAAAATCAACTCTTAACTCATTTTAAGTCATATCATTTCTCATATTATATATATATATATTTAAAAAAAGTAAAAAAAAATCAGCTTTTATCCTCCAAATATTCTCTCAGGACTACTAGGCAATCCCCGAGTCTAAAGTCTACAAAATTGTTTGGAAATATCATGCCGATGTATTAGACCAAAACAATTATGATTTTGTTTTTGGGTTAAAGTTTGGTGTGTGAGGGGAGGGACTTGCACTAATTCGTAGTTTTGTGCCCAATTCGTAGTTTTGCGGTGCGGACATAGTTGAAATTGCTATGCTACTTTGTATTTATATATATATATTTTTTCCCTTTTTTTTGGTTGATTACTTTTGGTGTTACTTCTCTCTAATATAACAAAGATTGGAGAGGTTTAATTCGGCCTATTATTAGTTTATATTAAAGCTAAGTTTGGTAACTCAAAATAAGTATACACTTTTTATCTTTTTATATTTTTTTATCACATCATCTCTCTATTTTTCTGCACATCTTTTCGTAAAAAGACAAAAAATACACTTATTTAGATCATCCCAAACAACTCCTAAATTTATTTTAATAATTAAAATCGTTTATTTTGTGGATCTGACTAAGTATATTATTTATATCAAAAATTAAATTGATCAGATACCGATAATCTCTTAATCAGCTTACATTTATCTAAAAAAATATAATTGAATTGTATGGTTTTAAAGATAATCTATTTATTTTTTTCAAATAAAAATGATTCGATCAAATAATTAACAATATCTAATAAATTTAAATTTTAATGTTAATAACGTACTTGACAAATTTTATAAAACAAGGGAGTTAAATGGTGGAGATGAGGCAGATATAGGCTGGCCTGGATGGATTTCTAGTTCGATGAAAGAAAGGGAAGGAGCTGAACTCGTTATCCTTATACGCGTTGATTTTTTTATCAATAAATCAATTTGTTTCCTTTTACTCATACGTTATTCTCGCATTTATTAATTTATAAAAAATTTATAAAAAATTACATTTTCGTCATTTGCAAGTATGAGGATCGTTAAAATACTCAATTGCATGAAGACCACTGCGGCCCAAAATTAAAATTAAAGTAGAATTATTTATTTATTACTAAACTATTTATTAAAGCATTTCGCAGAATATTACGATTACGCACACCAATCAAAACACGAAGAAACCACCCCCCCCCCCCCCCCCCCCTCTCTCTCTCTTCTTTCCGACAGCAGAAAGCGAAATTATAGTGAGAGAAAATCTAGAGAGAGAAAGTGCATGAACTCGTTCTGAATACGGACCACCCTGTTCAAAAACAACGCCCCTGTAACAACAATGGCGGTTTCTAGGGTTTTGTGAGTATTTACACTTGCTAATTTCTCGATGGAAATGCCTGGTAGACGATCGAATTACACTCTGCTGAGTCAGGACGACGACCACCACCAGCCACCGCCGCCGATTCCGCCAAAACCAACCACAGTGGGCGGCGGAGCTGCTCCGTACCACGAGTCTCATTCCGGCGAGAAGAACAAGGGGAAGAGCGATAGGAGCTTCGATTGGGAATTGGTTGATCATCGGATGGCTCAGCAGCAGCCGAATCGGATTCCTTTGATCGGATTGCAGAGGCAGTCGAGTGGGAGTAGCTTCGGCGACAGCTCGTTTCCGTCTGTTGCGGCGAGCGATCCCGATGCGTTTGGACTCATGCATGACGATGTGTTCAAGGTTGGTGGTGGAGAGTTCAGGTTGAAGGCGGCGGAGGTGGGCGGCGGTGCGGGGCCTTCGTCGTCGTCAAAGAGTTGGGCGCAGCAAACGGAGGAGAGTTACCAATTGCAGCTGGCCTTGGCTCTCCGGTTGTCTTCTGAAGCTACTTGTGCTGACGATCCCAATTTCTTGGATCCAGTGCCAGATGAATCCACATCACGGTCACTGCCTTCCTCTGGTTCTGCAGAGTCCATGTCTCATAGATTCTGGGTATGCTTAATCATGCTTTTAACTATTTGTTTCATTCGAACCATAATCACAGACATTTGGATTTAATACGCACTAGTTGTGAATTGAATTGCTATTTTATTATGAATTTTAGTAAGAATCATCAGCATATCTGAAACTTAAGATGGGTTATATACATTTTCTTGACAAAATTATGCAGCAAATTAATGAATAGGTATGCTATTAAATTAATAGTGCAATGAATGGGCAAACTTTCCAATTTGAGAGTGAAACATATTTTGTTTTGCTGAGAGTTATAGTCAGTGGTGGGTGTGTGAGGGACTGGGACCATGATCTTATAACTAAACATCTAAGTCTTGATACTTATCAACGGGCTTGACAACTATTCTACGTTATCTGTAACTATGCTAATACCAGTAACTAGTATGCCCTCACACATATATATGCGTATATCTGTCTTCATTTGATATCTGATACCATATGTTCTTAGGTAGCACTGATGTGAACTTGCTGTACTAATTTACTTCTGTATGCCTTTAAGTTGCTTAGAGACTCTGTAAAAGATTTGATATTTGTTTTAAAATTTATATTGTTTAGGAAATATTTGTTTATTACATTGTGTGATGCTCAATTGTGTATGTTATTTTGTTCTCAGCTCCACATGGAAAAAAACTTTAACCATTTCAATTTCTATAATATCTTTTTTTTTTCATTTTCATTAACCTATTAAAAAAGTTATATTTTCTCAGAAATGAAACTGCATGATGTAGTGGCTGACAAATGGACCCTCATTCTTATGCTTTGTTCATTCTGTTTGCTTGTAAGAATTTCTTTGCACAAGTTATGTATAATAAGTGCCTGTTTGGGAACTTGGCTTTGCAGTGGATTTTTGGCTTTTTTATGATGTGAAAAAAGTTCGTGTTTGGAATGGTTTTTTAAGTTGAATAGATAGTTGTGAGAGAAAAAGTGATTGATTGATGTATATGATGTGACATTTTGCTAATGGGGTTGAATTTGTTGATTTTTTGGCTTTTTTGCCCAAAAAAAAAAAAACTCTTGCCAAATGGGGCCTAAATGTGCATTATGATTGTATTATTGTTATAATCGAAAAAAAATGATGTGTTATTATTATGTACTGTATGTATAATATAATGTGCATTAGCATTGATATGTCCTGTCCTGTCTTAAAATTTAATATGCATCAGGTGAATGGCTCCCTATCATACTTTGACAGAGTTCCTGATGGGTTTTATTTAATTCATGGGATGGATCCATATATATGGACTGTATGCACTGATCTCCAAGAGAATGGCCGTATTCCATCAATTGAATCTCTAAAGGCCATTGATCCCAGCATGGATTCTTCAGTTGAAGTAATTTTGATAGATCGACGTAGTGATCCTAACTTAAAAGAACTACAAAACAGGATTCATAGTGTATCCTGCACTTGCATCACTACAAAAGAAGTTGTTGACCAGCTTGCAAAGATTGTCTGTGATCGCATGGGGTGAGTTTTTGGCTTGGCCTGTTAAGAGACTCTTGTAATTATCTGTTTATTTTATTTTATTTTTATTTATTAATAACCAAATTTTATTGCCATCACAAGGGGTGCAGCTTTGACTGGAGAAGATGACTTTGTTCCCATCTGGAGTGAATGCCGTCATGATATTAAGGAATGCTTAGGATCTGTTGTGCTTCCGATTGGTAGCCTTTCTCTTGGTCTTTGTAGGCATCGTGCTTTGCTATTCAAAGTATGTTTCAAATACCCTATTGTGACATTAGTTTGCTTTGTTTTAAATTTTTGAATTCACTTCAGTAGGAGGTATTGCAATGTCTCCATTTTAATTGAATTTTTTTATTCTTCTTATGGGTGAAAATATTTTTGTTTGTTGAATTGCTTTTGGTTTTGGAATGGCATACGATTTTTTTGATTTGAGTTATTGCATGAGCATCCACCCCCACCTGCCCGCCAGCCTTCCTCCCTTTTTTTCTGGCATATAATTTAAAATGAAAGATCAATAATTTTATTTATTTTTTTTCTCTTCTGGTTTAAACTTAAATTGTGCTAGTGGAAGATGAAAGTGATTCATATGTTTTTGACTCTTGATATATGCAGGTGCTGGCTGACACGATTGATTTACCATGTCGAATTGCCAAGGGCTGCAAATATTGTATGAGAGATGATGCTACCTCCTGTCTTGTTCGCTTTGGCGTTGACAGGTATGATATGTTAATTACTGTTCCATCCATTTGCATTTTCATTTTGACCACAGGTATGAATTGAATTTCAAACCTAATTGATTAGGGATGCCTCTTTGCTGTGCTAAGAAGGTTTTCACACATAATTTCATCCTTTGATGTTATAAACCGTATTCTTTATAGTCAATGAAGGTTCAATGAGAGCCCAGTGTCATTTTAATTTAAATTTATTTTGTGGCATTATTTACTGAAGTTGTGTGACTCTTCCATCGTTTTGTATTTTATATGGAACGATTTTTATACTTCAATGTGGGTATGGGATGTTCTAGTGCCTTGAACCATACACCTTACAATATCTATACGTTCTTTCCTTTACCATCAATTATTATTATTATTTTTCTGTCTTAGAGAACTTCCAGGTAGTTGTGTGTTATCTTTCATGATTTGAACTTTTCTAAGTTATTTCTTTATCCAGGAAGAGTAGAGGGTTACAGCTTAACACGAGGTTGGCTGTACATAGTATGTAGATTGTTATAAGAGATCTGTTTTTGTCTTTGGCAAATGTACTTTTAGTTGCTTGAGAAAATTAATGATAGAATTATTTTTAAGTTTGGGATATTTTTTTGTGTGTGTGTAACCTAGGGAATGACACATGCATTATTTGTCTTGAAGTATGCAAAAATGACTCCAGTCCATGCATAATTGATTACTATTTAATTGCATTAGTTCTCTCTGTGCCAAAAGAAAAGATAAAAAGGACCTGCTTAGCTGATATTATGGATGCCTATTCTTTCTTAATCTTCCTATGCATGTCCAGTCTCTGTGGAATGCCTCCTGTCTCGGTCTTAGCAAATTGGTACTGACATTTTCTATGTATTATTGCAGGGAGTATGTAGTTGATTTAATTGGGAATCCAGGATGTTTGTGTGAACCTGATTCTTTGTTAAATGGTCCGTCTACCATCTCAATTTCTTCACCATTGCGCTTCCCACGCTTCAGACAAGTTGAATCTCCAATCGATTTCAGGTCACTGGCCAAACAGTATTTCTTGGACTGTCAATCACTTAATCTTGTATTTGATGACTCTTCCACAGGTGATCTCTTTTGTTCTTGAACATTTTTGTCCATAATTGGTAATATGTTTTTACTTGTCATAATTTTCTTTTCTTTTATGTTTTGTTTTGTTTTGTTTTTTTTTGGAGGGTGGGGGTTCTTGTTTTGTAAGCAGGTGATTTTTTTTTTTTTTTTGATTGACAAAAGTTGGTTGTTAGGTATGTTAGATGCACTTGGGTACGGGTGTCAGGTGCAGATATGTATGTAGAGGTCGGACTCGTCAAATCATAAATTTAAGGGTACGCGGACTTGGCAAAAAGAATCATATTTTTATATTTTTAATCATGTGAGATAAAATGGGGCTATATGTAACTTATAGTGTCAAAAAGGCATTTCTAGTAATTTTACAACAATATATACATATAATAATAGTGTCATATACAATTATATAAGAAGTGTCAGTTGAAAAGTATCAGGCATGGCACATATCCCATACTCTTGTTCGAGTGTCGGGTGTTCGACATAGGTATTTGATTTATTTTGAAGAGTCTGTGTAACATAGATTGTTAGTTGTTAGATTAGTTCTTGGGAGAATTAAATCCCCAACCTCTCCGTTGCCAACACCTAATTGTTGCCTCCATGCCACTAGACAGTTAGGAAATTGACTCTTCCTAACCAGGATAGCGAACAAGAAAGATAAAACGAATCGAAAAAATCACACACAAGAACACAAGATTTATGTGGTTCATCCAGAATAGGATTACATCTATGGTTATTGTGGTTTTCACTATGATCAGAAAACGATTACAACTCTCTATAATACAAGAGGCACCCCTTTTATCTATTTATAAGTATAGAAATTAAGGCAATGCCGGAGCAACAAGAAATTTCCAAAGTACCCCCCATTGTACCCAAGGCTTAGTGTACAATACTTTTCAACGTCCACAAGACCCAACATAGACCATATGGCCATGGGCGTTTTGTTAGTAAATGATCACGACATTAATATATCGTGGAAGTTGTTTTCGATTTTAGAGCTGCTTTTATCATGTTGCCCTAAATAGGGTTGAGCATGATTCATGTAACGCCCCGAAAATATAACGATTGCTCATGATGTGTAACCAAATAAGATAGTGTGTTTCAAAAAATGAATATCCTTTCCATTCATATATGATTTGAATTATACAAAAGATAACACATGCATTTACACATTCACAAGCTCTAAACTTGAATCTGAAACACGTGTTATAACAAGAGATATGATATGAAAGTAAAACAGATAATAAATGCCCTAAAAGCTTATAACTTTCTAAGACGATGCTTGGTTACCACAAAAGTGGATTTAAATCCAATACAGTTAAAGACCCTTGGCCTGTACAAAACATATACAACAATCAAACAAAATGAAGCTCTTGCTCCAAGTCCTCCCAAGCTATTGCCTTGGCGGAGGCATTTCATTAGCACCTGGAAATGATTTTCCCACATAGAGTGAGCTAAAGCCCAATAGAAATAATCCAACACAGTATATGAATCTTAACAAATGATATAAGGTGAATACATATGCAATACTCGTGCCAAAACATTTTATATCTTTTCCAAAATCATGTAATGACAGGTTAATATTAGAATTCATAAATCACTTCATTTACAATAGAAAATAGGGTTGTGAATCACACTTTGGGAAATCTCAAAACAATTCCTACCTTTCACGGAAATTTCATCTGCAAAAAATCATAAACTGGCACCTATGTAAACGTAGACTCTACAAGCACTACTATTGCCATTTCATGAAAATTTCGTCTGCGTGATTGACACCTATGTATACGCTCGGTTTTTAGGAGCTATAGTTGTCAAATCAGGATTCGTATCGTGAATCAAAATGATCTCGTACCAAATCGCGAATCGAATCGAATCGTGAATCGTAAAGACTCGGTCACTTCTTCTAAATTATTTAAAAACATATATTTACACATTTAGATGTTAAATATATCTTATGAATATAAAATATTTAGACTTAAATCAATAAAAATGTTATTTTGAATGATAATCACATAGTTTAATAAGTAAAAATTTAACAAACATTCCTATGTAAGATCACCATCTTAGTTTTTTTTCTTTTTTAGATATTTCTTATCAACCATTGTCACTGGCCAAACAGTATTTCTTGGACTGTCAATCACTTAATCTTGTATTTGATGACTCTTCCACAGGTGATCTCTTTTGTTCTTGAACATTTTTGTCCATAATTGGTAATATGTTTTTACTTGTCATAATTTTCTTTTCTTTTCTTTTCTTTTTTGTTTTGTTTTGTTTTGTTTTGTTTTTTTTTTTTGGAGGGTGGGGGTTCTTGTTTTGTAAGCAGGTGATTTTTTTTTTTTTTTTTGATTGACAAAAGGTTGTTGTTAGGTATGTTAGATGGACTTGGGTACGGGTGTCAGGTGCAGATATGTATCTAGAGGTCGGACTCGTCAAATCATAAATTTAAGGGTACGCGGACTTGGCAAAAAGAATCATATTTTTATATTTTTAATCATGTGAGATAAAATGGGGCTATATGAAACTTATAGTGTCAAAAAGGCATTTCTAGTAATTTTACAACAATATATACATATAATAATAGTGTTATATACAATTATATAGGAAGTGTCAGTTGAAAAGTATCACGCATGGCACATATCCCATACTCTTGTTCGAGTGTCGGGTGTCCGACATAGGTATTTGATTTATTTTGAAGAGTCTGTGTAACATAGATTGTTAGTTGTTAGATTAGTTCTTGGGAGAATTAATTCCCCAACCTCTCCGTTGCCAACACCTAATTGTTGCCTCCATGCCACTAGACAGTTAGGAAATTGACTCTTCCTAACTAGGATAGCGAACAAGAAAGATAAAACGAATCGAAAAAATCACACACAAGAACACAAGATTTACGTGGTTCATCCAGAATAGGATTACATCCATGGTTACTGTAGTTTTCACTATGATCAGAAAACGATTACAACTCTCTATAATACAAGAGGCACCCCTTTTATCTGTTTATAAGTATAGAAATTAAGGCAATGCCGGAGCAACAAGAAATTTCCAAAGTACCCCCCAAACGCCCCATTGTACCCAAGGCTTAGTGTACAATACTTTTCAACGTCCACAAGACCCAACATAGACCATATGGCCATGGGCATTTTGTTAGTAAATGATCATGACATTAATATATTGTGGAAGTTGTTTTCGATTTTAGAGCTGCTTTTATCATGTTGCCCTAAATAGGGTTGAGCATGATTCATGTAACGCCCCGAAAATATAACGATTGCTCATGATGTGTAACCAAATAAGATAATGCGTTTCAAAAAATGAATATCCTTTCCATTCATATATGATTTGAATTATACAAAAGATAACACATGCATTTACACATTCACAAGCTCTAAACCTGAATATGAAACATGTGTTACAACAAGAGATATGATATGAAAGTAAAACAGATAATAAATGCCCTAAAGGCTTATAACTTTCTAAGACGATGCTTGGTTACCACAAAAGTGGATTTAAATCCAATACAGTTAAAGACCCTTGGCCTGTACAAAACATATACAACAATCAAACAAAATGAAGCTCTTGCTCCAAGTTCTCCCAAGCTATTACCTTGGCGGAGGCATTTCATTAGCACCTGGAAATGATTTTCCCACATAGAGTGAGCTAAAGCCCAATAGAAATAATCCAATACAGTATATGAATCTTAACAAATGGTATAAGGTGAATACATATGCAATACTCGTGCCAAAACATTTTATATCTTTTCCAAAATCATGTAATGCCAGGTTAATATTAGAATTCATAAATCACTTCATTTACAATAGAAAATAGGGTTGTGAATCACACTTTGGGAAATCTCAAAACAATTCCTACCTTTCACGGAAATTTCATCTGTAAAAAATCATAAACCGGCACCGATGTAAACGTAGACTCTACAAGCACTACTATTGCCATTTCATGAAAATTTCGTCTGCGGGATCGGCACCTATGTATACGCTCGGTTTTTAAGACTTTCACCATGGATACCCAGGCCAACTTATTTCAACGAGCCAATACATACTTCCCAGATTCACCAATTTTTCTCAAAACAATAAACATTTTCAATGTATAAAAGTGTAATAATACTTGATGCAAATGGATGAAACAATAGTTTTAATTCTCCTAATTCTTATGCAATTTCTGCAACAATCATAGCTATCATTCATTGATAGCCTAAAACAGACATTTCTAAACAGATAAACAATTTTCAATAAAGATAAGTTTTTCAAATTTCAAGATGTGAGATAATACATATCCAACTTCACCATCCTCATCAATATCAACCCAATTCCACGTTGCCAACATCAATTCATTATTTATATAAAATCAATATTTGAGACATTTAGGGCAAAATTCGTTTTTCTTTCAAAATCAATTTCAAGTATCAAAATCAACTACTTCATCACAACTCAACTTTATTTTCAATACCACAATCATTTCCAAGAATCCATTTGAAAACCTCTCTTTAAATCTTTAACCCAAAATTCTAGATTTGTTTCAAAAATTTCCAAAATGACAATATTGTTTAGAAATAACAAATAACTAAGTTAAAACTCATAGAAAGTACGAATAATCCCTACCACAAGCTTAGAAGACGGGAGAGGAAATGAAGGAAACTCAAAGATCCCAAAAATCAACTTTGCTCCGATTAGAACGAAGCTCTCGTCATGCTTTATCTTTTTAACGAATGGACACAGATGAAAAGGTCAACGGATCTAGGTGTATTTGAGTGAAATAAATGAGTTTTAGAGAGAGAGAGAGAGAGAGAGAGAATAGGGTTTTGAAATGTTTTGAGAGAGAGAGAGAGAGGTGAAAAAGTTATTCGGAAAAGTGACTCTGCGAACTGATATACGTGTAGACGGCTCGAGTGCAAGAAGTGTCGCTCGAGCGACCAGACACAATAAGTTGCACCACTCGAGCGTAAGAAGCTTCGCTCGAGCGAAGAATACTAACTCTCATAAGTTTTACAGACAGAGAATCACCATTCGAGTACAAGAAGGCCCACTCGAGTGAACACCGCTCGGGCGTAAGGAATATCGCTCGAGCAAAAAATGCCCACTCTCAGTATCTCTGCAGACCTGCAAAAGTACTGGAAGTGCACAAATACCGCTCGAGCTCAAGAAGTATCGCTCGAGCGAAGAAGTAAAATTCTGGGCAACAATAGTTTGAAAAACAAACTACTAATCTGTTCCAAATGCAATCAACACATCTCAATAGCCAAACTCAAAGGGAAATAAGTGGAAACAAGACAAGAACAACCATATGAGGCAATGAAACCCGGATCCAAAACATAGAATGTGTCGGGTCTAAATCAAAATCACTATAATTCAAATTGGCTTGGTTTAGGAGTAAACTAAGGACCAAACCATTACATATGGTTCCATGAAATTTAAAATCAAACCAAACCATGAAAATTTTAGAACCAAACTAGACCGAACCAATAAAATGCGGTTCAGTTCAACCTGGTACCACAATTTTTTAGAAAAACTTGTCATCATTTACAACATGATCGCAAATACTGTTTACAACCTAAGAACTGTTTAGAACTAATTCTGTCACTCTACAAGAACATACTGGCAAGAGTAGCGGGTTACAACTTATGTACATATATTTGATACCAATAAGATATTAGAGTGTTTACAGTAGGTAACAAGTTATATGCATATGTATGTGGGTCAAATGGGGGCCCCCTCTTTCCATGGAAGTGGATTTGCTGTTCTATGGTACTTACGAAGGTGGCGTTCTTTGTTTAGTGTGCAACTCATGACAAAATCCTCACAATTGACAATTTGATTAGAAGACAAATGTTAATTGGTGATGCATGTGTAAGTATGATGGGGAGATCGTGGATCATCTTTTTGTCTTGTGATGTGGCAAGGGAGCTTTGGTCCTTTATTCTTCTCTTGTTTGGAGTTATGTGGGTGTTTCTTAGGAAGCTGGGAGAACCTTTACGGGCTTAGAGGGGAGCTTTATATGGGTGGAAGGACGAGGGCATTGGGTATGGCTCCTTTGGCTTTGATGTGCCTCATATGGGGTGAGTGGAATATGAAGTCATTTGCTAGTAAAGAGGGACTTTTTGGAGATATGAAAGCTCTTTTTTGTTTTTTTTTTGTGTGTGTGTGTCTATTTTGTATTGTTGGTTTTCAGGGATGGTTAATCGATCCTTGAATCAACTTTAGGTTTAAAATTTGAATAGCTTTTTTGATGTAAAGATGCGTTTAGATTTCCTTTGTATATGGATTGGACATCCCCTTGGTGCCTTAATGAATTTATTCTTATACTTAAAAACAGAACATGGGCCGATAATGTCAATTTGTAATTCTATCAAACTTTGATGGTTATTCATTGACTTGACATTTTTTTTTTTTTATCGGCAAGCCCAAAATGATGCCAAATAGCACTCTATCCCACATTGAACAACGACTCCGTGTCATTAAACTTATCCTCAAGAATCATTGCATTCCTTTCCAACCAAATAACCCAAAAGATTGCGAAGACCACAATGCCACCTTTTGCTTTGTCCTTACCTCCAAAGCCCTAGCAATCTATTGAAATAATGAGAAAGCAAGTGCCCTGAGTTTGACAAATAACCCAAAAGATTGCAAAGACCACAATGCCACCTTTTGCTTTGTCCTTTCCTCCAAAGCCCTGGAAATCTATTGAAATCATGACAAAGCAAGTGCCTGGAGTCTGACCATTGAAAACAAGAAATGCGATATCAGATAAAGTAGACAAGATTTTCACTCTAAACGCATTCTATTTTGACGGCTTTCAAAAGATCAATCACATCATGCAACTTTTTTCCTTTGGATTTTAATCTTGCATTTATGAGAACATGATACGCATTTCATAGACACAGCTGAGCTGAGCCTTGGTCACCGAGCTCGTCACAAACTTGACTCAAGTTTGAACACACCCCAGAATCACAAGGCTAAGCCTGAAGACATTAAAGCTTCCCTTGGCTCTGCTCATTTGCAGCCCTAGAGGGAGAAGGTGGTCCAGTTAATTTTTCCACATCCATGGAGGATTTTTATAGATAATTTTGGACAATGGAGTAAGGATGCATGTAAATTTTTATATTGATTATATTCCTTGTTTTGATGCTCATTAATGGAGTTTGCTTGTTCTTTCTATTTTACTTTTTGGTGAAATTGATTGCATGTGAAGGAAAATGTGATGCTTGGCTATAGTTAAACTGTAGTTTCAATGATCATCCTAGTGATGTGTCAGCTACTGAATTTAAAGTTCACAGGTATTGTTTTTGATGGAGATGCTGGAGACCTGATGTATCCTAAGCAATCTGATAGGCAGTGCATGGATAGACACAGCCCTGTGCCTAGTTCAAGCAACAGCAATAAAATTCCACTGTTACCTCTGCCCTCAGAAGGTACCTTGGAAAATGCTCATGATGGGGATTTGCTGCTGTTTCAATCATGTAATGCTCACCCTATTGTAAGCTCAACAAACATGGTCAAAGATCCAATACCTCTAAAGCATAAAGATTTGAGGTTTGTTGATGGCAGTCAAAGGGTTCCAATTCAACTAAGTAAAGAAGTTTCCCTTCATTTGGAAGATTTTGACATTCCATGGAGTGAGCTTATTTTGAAAGAGAGAATTGGAGCAGGTATTCTTTTTCTCCAGGCTGGAAGAACATTAATATTTTAGTTTAGGGTGGTCATGTACCTCTCTGTGTTGCGAAGTTGTTTTTTCTGGTTATCTCATAGGTAGTTATGCTGAGACTAAGTGACTTGGTGGATTTCCAGGTTCTTTTGGTACTGTCTATCGTGCTGATTGGCATGGCTCGGTAAGTAATTTGTCATCTATGTGCTGAATTACTATTTGAAACTTGTTAGTCAAAGATATTGATGAATAGAAGTAAATTACCATGGAACAATTTGATGTGATTTTTGTTTCAGTTTAGCTATCTGTATTTGCTAGTGCTATGTGCAACACCCAGTTGGGCTCTGGGTTGCAGGTGTTGTGACGACTCGACCATTATTATTGATGACATCCTTTAAAAAATAAGGTGATAATGTTAAAGGGTAGCAGATTATGTGTATGGCCATGTTATTCTAATAGATTGAATTTCCATGTAGCTTTGTAGGAGAGTCACTCTTACTTGTGCTTGTAATATTTGTTAGAATAAAGTTATACACGCAAATTGGTACACAAATTAGTGTACTAACAGATGATATGGCATAATTGTTAAAATCCACCTACTCTCCACCTACTTCACCCACTTAAACCTACTCCACTAAACCTAACCCACTACACCACTACCACCTCCACTTCACCTACTCCTTACCTACTACACACTCACCCTCTTCTATATATAGGAATCATGAATCATTGTAATAGATATCAATATAAAACAATCAATAATACAATCTTTTCTCTTTATACATTAAATTTCTACAATAATTTTATTGGCTTTGAGTCTTTGTAGTTTGTTTAATAGGTGGTGTCCATTGTTTTGAAGTTGCAATGCTATAGCATGTGTTGGTACACTAATTGGTATATCAATTGATGCGTGTAGCACCATTGTATTTGTTATGCCTCATGTGAGAGCAAGCAATTCGAGGATTTGATCAATATATTGTTCAATTGGCGTGTTCGGTCTTAGTGATACTCAAGAATAGATTTTGTTTTGAAAATTGGTGGAAGTTTAAGGAGTTAACCAACGGGTTAGCTTAATTGACCAGAGCCCTTATATGGTTATATCTGACTAGAGTTTCCCCCCCCCCCCCCCCCCCCCCAAAAAAAAAAAAAAAAAAAAAAAAAAATTGGTTATGGAAGTTTAAGGAGTGCAGTGAGTGCTTCTATGAGACATCATGGAAACATGCAATACTATTCTCATATGACGATTACTTAGTTAGGAAACTGAATTATGCACTTAACCTATCATTTTTTCTAAATTCACCCTTAAGTTGTTTGAAAATTGCAACGCTAGTGGGTGATATACTTTCTTTCATCTATTCAAAGCATTGTGATGTCATAAAGTTTGAAGATTGCAAGTAGCCTTTTTTGTGGTCACAAATTTGTATGCTTCAGAGGAAATAATGACATCATCTGCAAATAGCATTAAGATCGTTATATTGAAAGCTAAGAAGCATGGACACTTCTTAGAAGGTAATATGTTGTGTGTCCGACACCATGCCTATGACCGACATGACACGACACTCGCCGGACACTTCCCAATACTTAGACACACAAGAAACACATTACAAATTTAAAGAAAATAGCTTGGAATCTAATGGTAAAACGAGAATAATATAAATTTATACCTATTCTCCTTATTTTGATTTGAAAAATTATTATCTTTGACTTAAATATTCATCTATATGATGCATATTAATTATTTATACTTGTATATGACATAATAAATATATAAAATTATATATTTTGCACTTGTCCTCCATGTGTCGTGTTCTACATTTTAAAAAAATTTACGTGTTAGTGTGTCCATGTCCGTGCTTCTTATTGAAAGTGTCCCTCTTGTGAGTATATTTTTCTTTTGTTTTACTTTCTAATTTTTGGGATGAGTATTGGTAGAAATTTTGTTAAAGCAGATGACTGCTTGAAGGGAGAAATGCAAGAGATCCTCCAGAAGAACTTAACAAAATTAGTCCAGTCTCAATGAACTGTGAAGTGCCTGAAAATTAATGTCACAACATCAGGGTGTGGGAATTCCAATCATCCTCCTGTTTTGATCCTTCTCTTTCATTAATGACTCTTCCTCTTGGCCAATCTTGGTACCTGTTTGGTGGAACATTCCAATGTGGTAGCTAGATCAATTGTTCCTTGATGATGCTTCACATTCTCCATGCGTCCTTATTTCTTTTTTTGATCAGCAACAAACAAAAATTTGATTGATCCCTGGGTCCTTATTTCATGTAATGACATTTGAACTATTTCCGTCCATTACAAAAATGTAGTAACAAATCTTTGGCATCTAATACAATTTTCTTTTTTAATCTATAACATGTTAAAGCTACCAATTCTGTATTTATCAAAAAAAAAAAAAAAAAAATTTTCTTTTTTAATCTATAACATGTTAAAGCTACCAATTCTGTATTTAAAAAAAAAAAAAAAAAAAAAGCTACTAATTCTGTCTTATTAGCTTCCCATAACCAAAAAATTTGGAAAACATAACTGATATTAATCTTGTGATTAATTTAAAATTCCACTTATTTAACATGTGCCGACCTACGGTGGTGCAAATGCAATCACCAATTTGAGCTTCATTAGGTTGGCTTCATAAGGAAAACATAATACAAGAAGATTGAGAGAACAAGAATTGGTTTCCATTACCTCATTCATGCTTCACATAGTAGTACCTTCTTGAATAATTTTGTTGTGAATATCCATCTCAATACTTACACTTCTTGATTAGTAACCTTAATGATCCAACTCTCTTTCCTAATGTATTATCTTACATTTCCATAGCCAAAATTGGAAGCATTATCAAAGTTGGGATAATGAAATGCTTAGGTACGATATTTCATTTTGATGGGCCAAATAAAGTGTGACCAAAATGGAGATTTTATTTAGGACAAATTACAACAATAGTCCTCATAATTTACCCTTTGTGTCAATTTGTCCCCTGAATTCCAATTATAATTTTTTTGCCCATTGTGTCAATTCTTTTTGACACTTCTAGCCTCTTGCATATCCACTGAAGCTCCTCCTCGTCGGCCAACTATTGAGAACCAGTTGTCAATAGCACTGCTGATCTTAGAAAGTTCAAAGATCTTCTGTACTATATGCACTATCAAGCCTCCAGTTTCAGCCATTGTTGTTACACCTCCATCTTAGAATCAGTTGATCACATTTCTTGAAAAAAAAAAAAAAACTTTATAGCCACAAAGCCCTAGAGAAGTACTTTTGCCACACAACTAGCATGCTTCTTGAGATTATATGTTAAAAAATTGATTTAGGCCTAAATTTAAACTTAGCGGCATTGGACAATCCGAGTGTGGTCTATGATGATCTATATATACCTTTGCCATTGCTAGGGTGCACATATTGATGGACATTTGAATTTTTGTGTGCATTGAACAAGATTCCCGGGCTTGCTTGTCCAAGATCCGTTGAGAATTCATTTTAGTGTTTTGAGAACTCTTCCTTATTATTGCTCTTTGTGGTTTATAGCCAGTCAGGCGGTTGGTTATAGCTTTTTAGGAAGATGGCAGACACTAAGATGGCGCAAGACCATACGAGGTGGAGAGGGAGAAAGTTTAGACAACCTTAGAGCATGAGGAGACTCTGGCAATGAGGGAGCCTCATGTATGGAGGGGCTTTGTGAGGAAGGTAATCAAAAAAGAAAGAAGATGAGTTCGTATTTGTTGTGATGTTCATGAATAGTTCTGATAATCTGTTTAGTAAGACAATCGATCTGAAGGATGAGCTTGCTTGTTGCATATGGACGAGAAGACCTTTTATTATACAAGAGTTAGACTATAGGGGCCAGTTCACTCTTGTAGGTTGTGCTGAGTAAGTGTGACACACCTTACTAGACGCCACAATGGATAGGTATGATACACTTCCCGAGGCATTGCATGACCTGGTTAATCTTAATCTTTGTGCGAAGTCTTCTTCCTCATTCTAAGATTGGTAAAAGTGGGATCACCTTGAGGGGATGAGTTGGGCAACTTTAATGATCCCTCAACTCTAGCCACCAATCCACAAGTTCCTTTCGTGGTGATTTTTCGTGAGATCATGGGTTGCTCGGGCATCCTCGTGATGGAGGAATCGACCCATAGGGGTTCCCAAGCCCTGCTTCCCATTTAGGTAGGCTATACAACGTCAAGGTGCCATTTCGAAATTTTAGCCTTGACATGGCGAGGTGATTGCTAAGTGGGCGAGGCGAGGCGCACGGTGCTAAAAGGATAGTCGCAAAGCGGTGATGGTGATCACTAAGTGAGTTGTTGAGGTAAGGTCACCAAGGCAAGGTTCATGCCCCTCTTGGGTATAGGTGTTCTAGCCAGGTAGGGCACAAATACCTACACCTAAGAAGCACAAACATTTCAGCGGAGGAAGCATGTCCAACACTTTTTCAATGTGTCTTGATTGAAAAATCAAATTCAGAATATCACACTTTATTGGCACTTCACGGAGACTTTGATGATACTTCTTGAACTCTTCATTGTTCTATGTGTTGAATCCCTTCTCCAGAACACAACTTATGCATTCTAAATATGTTTTGAAGCGTTTATAAGATGAATACATTGTGTATTATAATGTTCTATCATTGTCTTGCATGCTCTAAATGTAATTGTTACGTGCATGATATATTGATGTTTAAGTTATGAAATGTATAACTTTTAAATCTAATTAGTGTTATGTTACATATTTTTCATTATATTTGAATAAATTATTCATATATATGATATATAATAAATTTGTAAAAACATGATGTGCCCCAAGCATCTTGTCTTACATTTTTTTGAAAGTTGACATTTGGCGTGTCGCATGTTGCATGTTTGTGCAACTTAGACCTACACTCTTCATTTAGATTCCCTTAGATTAATATTTTGACTTAAATTTTTTGTTAAGTTCACAGTTCAGTCATATCTTAGGTATTATTTTATTTCGGTGGCATCATTCTCTTATATTGTATAATCATACAAAAGTTGTAACTTTCAGGATGTTGCTGTGAAGATTCTCATGGATCAAGACTCTCATCCGGAGCGATTGAAGGAATTTTTGAGGGAGGTAAGTAAGTGTTGACAACTTTCTGGACAAACTGAGCTCAAAAATTGAGAGCGAGCTTAATGATGTTTTATTATTTTTTATGTACAGGAATTGCTACTTTCTAACTTCATTGCTTATGCTTGCAGGTGTCAATTATGAAGCGCATGCGGCACCCAAATATTGTTCTTTTTATGTGTGCTGTTACTCAGCCCCCTAACTTGTCTATAGTCACAGAATATCTATCAAGGTTTTGCATTGTATTTTGTAATTCCCTTGTCATCATCCATTATTATTGACTGTATTGTTTTGAGTAATTAACGAACCATAGTTTTGGCTTTGAACTGCAGAGGCAGTTTATATAGACTTTTGCATAACCCTGGTGCAAGAGAATCATTGGATGAGAGGCGCAGGTTGAGTATGGCTTATGACGTGGTATGTATTTGAATATTGAAAGCTTTGTGTTTGTTGTGTGCAACATGCATGCTGACACCCGTAATATATTGTATTTTCTCTTATGTATATTTTGCTGTCTCATCAAAATGATAAATGCCTTCAGCATTGTAATTCTTCTTTTCATCTTTTCTAATGGGCATCTGTATATTCATATCATATTTTGGCTTAACCACTTTGAAAGCTTTGTGTTTGTTGTGTGCAACATGCATGCTGACACCCGTAATATATTGTATTTTCTCTTATGTATATTTTGCTGTCTCATCAAAATGATAAATGCCTTCAGCATTGTAATTCTTCTTTTCATCTTTTCTAATGGGCATCTGTATATTCATATTTTGGCTTAACCACTTATCATTTTCCTCTCTGTAGGCAAAGGGAATGAATTATCTTCATAACTGCAATCCTCCCATTGTTCATCGAGATTTGAAGTCTCCAAATCTTCTGGTTGACAGAAAATATACAGTGAAGGTGAGAATAAGGATTTATAGCAGATTAATTCCAGGTGTACTTGATGATGTGTTACCTCTCCAGATGAATTGTGTTATGGTGCGATTTCAATTTGTTTAGCACTCAATTGAAATTTTGGTTGACAATGACATAAGCCTATGTGACCTTGACATTTTCTAACTTGAAAATGAATTCAAAGCAGGTCTTAGGTTGTTCTTATTTGTGTACTATGGTTATACTTTATTTGACCTTAATTAAATTTTTTTTTTTCTTTCTATGTATATATTTAGGGGACCATCCCTATGTTCATCCCACGGATGGAAGCTGAATAAGCACTATGTTTAGTTTCAAGCATTGTTTCTTTGTGTAGTCTCATATTGGCCATGCTGTGTTGAATAACGCCTGTTTTGTTGACCATCTTGGATCTGAGAGTCGACATGCTGCAGATTAACTTTTTTATTTCTCCACCTGTTAAATGTTAACAGTGGATTTTGTGGATTTTACGGAAGGATTTTAGGTGTTAAAGTTGCACACCATTGAATATTAAAAGACAAATTATCTTTTGTCTAATTGCGGAAATATTCTTAGTGACCCCAAATGACGTCAAATCTTACAAAATTTCTTCTTTTAATTTTTTTGAAAGAATTTCTTTAAAAAATATTCCTGACATCTGAAAGATGCCATCAAGTGCGTGACGCCTTGGGCAAAAGTGGGCAGGGAGAAGGATTTAACCATTTTGAAGTATGTGGAAAAGTTTTTGTTAGATTGTTTTGCCTTTTGGGTTTCCAATATTACATTGTGAAACGCATTACTGATACATTGTGGGAATATTCCATGGGAATGGTTATACTTATGGATTGTGCACCTTCATGGCTAGATTAGAGTGATTTTAGTGGTAAAGAAAGTTGTACGAGATTATGCAGTAGTGTAGTTTGTCTTTTCATGTTCTGTTTTGTTGCTCTTCGGTTAGGCAGCCGCAGATTCCCAGTTAATGTGTTGAGGTTACTGTTGAATTTCATTCAGTTTGTGGACTGTGAGGGGAAGCCGGAACAGTGTGTCATCTTCAGTGCTACTTTCCCTCTTCAATGATATACTTGCTATCTACACTCTGCCAGTCTGGTATTGGGGTGGCCTCTTATCAGGTTTAGGATAGGGGCACTATTACGGCTACGAGTGCATTTTTGGTATTCCACCATTTAATTTACATCTAGATGTTACCTCAGGACCTTATTTATGGTGAGTAATAAAAGCAGTGGGTTTTTTGGTTAAGTGGTCAAGCATTGTCTGGCCCCTTGATTGAATGAAATGGAAAAGCAGTATTCATGTAGCAGACCCCAAGTGGTTGGGAACAAGGATTTGTTGAGTTGAGTAGACTTTCCTTTTCCTGCCTCTGCAGACATTGGTATATTGGTGATTGCCAAGATATGCGAATCTTGCCGTGTGACTCTAGCCAATACGCTTTCTTCTACTTTTGTGTGAAGTTAATGAGACCAGAATTTTCAGTATTACTGCGAAAATATGAATTTATCTTCAATGGATTTTGCAGTATACTTGCTCAACATCTTTGGGTGAAGATCTGTTTTATCCTGTGCTAGTGATAACCCAGGAGTACTGGCCATAATTGTATTAAATATTACTTGTTTTGATTCACACTTCCAGTTAGCAATGGTATTAATTTTTAATATGTTTAATATTCATTTTAGTTTACATATTTCGGTGGAAAGTACTATATATATTTTGTGACCATTACAGCTGTGTATATGTATTCCATTTTTAAGTTCTGTCCCTATTATTTTTGAGGCTTTAGCATATATACTAATTTCTTGTCCTTTTGTTCAATCAGGTCTGTGATTTTGGTCTTTCCCGTTTAAAAGCAAACACATTTCTTTCATCAAAGTCAGCAGCAGGAACTGTAAGTTCTGCCCAATTCAATCACCTCATTACTACAACTCCTTATCTTCAGATGGTCTGAGTTGCTTCTATCACAAAATAAAATTTTCTTTGCTTTATTGTAATAGCCTGAATGGATGGCACCAGAAGTTCTCCGTGATGAACCATCAAATGAAAAGTCGGATGTATACAGCTTTGGTGTGATATTGTGGGAACTTATGACGTTGCAACAACCTTGGAGTAATTTAAATGCATCACAGGTTTGTATAATGTAGTTTTATATTGTTTGCGAAATAATGGAAAGCAGAGTTAACCGAGATTTGGTATTTTGGTCGACATCTTGATATATTTACACGTCTATGTTAGGGTTGGGCATAGGGGGCTTTTGGAACTTTGGAACTGGTGATCAGGAAAATGTGTTTTAGCTATATTTATAAATGCAATAATGAGATTGAAATAGTAAATAAATGTTAAAGGACATAGATAAACAACTTGTAGGAAAAAGGAATTCCTTGGCAACATTAACCTGAATTGGACATGAAAACCTAGATTGCATTGCATTTTTTCTTTTCCCTTAATTCACTCGAAAGATGGACATGAAAACCTAGATTGAAGTTCCCTCCACCCACACTTGCAAAAAATGTTTTTTAACTTTGGTGTATATAGCACCAAACATTACCTTGAGGTCCTCAAAAGGAAATATAGTTTGAACAAGTGTGGATTTGTGTTCTAAGTGGTTGGTGACCATTGTTTGGAGCTTTATTGATTTCCATTACCTTCAATTTGTTGCCTTGACCATTTTTTCTTATTGTTTTTCTGTTCTTCTTTCTTATTGATTTCCATTACCAAAAATTGAATCATGTCTTTCTTGTAGGTTGTAGCAGCAGTTGGTTTCAAGGGCAACAGGCTTGAGATTCCACGTGATATAAATCCTCTAATAGCTTCCATAATTAAAGCTTGCTGGGCCAAGTGAGCTCACATTCTCATTTTGTTAATTAGCCTTATAAGTTCTGTGGCTTGTTGTACCCTTCAATACTATTTTTGGCTTTCTATTGATAAAGCTTTTGTTGCACTGCAGTGAGCCCTGGAAACGACCTTCCTTTGCCAGTATCATGGAATCTTTAAGGCCTTTGATTAAACCTCTAACACCTCAACCAGCTCGTGCAGACATGTAGTTACAAGAAGCCGTAAGAGACCTGGGAAGTTTTTGTTATGTATATATACTTCATTCTTTTGATGATCCATTTTTGGCAAGAAATTCTGCTCTGATAATCTCAGGTGCGTCTATCTCAAAAACTGCAGTTTTTGACAATTAAATATTAATACTCTTTTAGATTGATTCCTAATATTTTCTGCTTTCTGCCAAAGAGTGGAAAGACTTGGATCCTAGAATGGCCTCCCAAATAAAACACTTTTTAAAACTTTTTTATTTTTTTATTATTTTTTAAATATTTGTTTTCCAATAGGAACTTAGTACATGAAATATTAGGTGTATGTATAACAGAGTGAATCTAAGCTCGCTCTTTAAGTCATTATATGGTTCTAGGGTGTGCATATGCGTAATCTCATGCACGCATGCAGACTGTTTTCTAGGTTTTGAAAATCCTAATTCTTGCTATGTTGTGATATCCTGTAGGACCTCTCTTGTACATATCTGTTCACATTGCTTTGAGAACATTGATTTTTCGTGCAACCCAAGAAGCTGCTGTTATGCGCTTGCCGGAGATTTCTATCCACATTTCCATGTATAAACTTTCTCCAGAAATATTGCCGCCTCAAGTGATTTTATGTTCAATTAGCAGCATGTTATATATATATATATGCATTATTGTGATAGAAATCAGCTTAGAAAGATATACTCACTGCTTGGGTGTGTGCGATACCTCTTCATGTTGCATACCCTCAGAAATTGTTCACAACCTCAGGGTTGTGTATATAGTGGAAAAGTAGATGCAAGCGTGCCTTTGCATTGGTGCTGTTCTTATGCTTGTTTCATTCTTAGGTGATGCATGAAAATGATAAAATAGAGGCCGTGACCTGGTGCGATGGCATGTGTCATATTAAGTGGTAACCCCCTTGTACATGCTAGAAAAGCAAATATTCTTTTTTAAGAATTATCTTGTCTCAATAACTCTCTTGGTTAGTTATGTCTTTTGGCTATTTATTGCCAAAATTAGGGTAAATATCTTGCAAACAATTCCAAGTAAACACAAAGGACCTTTCATTTTATTTTATTTAATTAAAAAAAATCAATTGGTGATGCGAGTTACACAATAGTGAGCAACCCTTCCTTCCCATGAGCCATGATCTTGTAGTCTAGGTAAATGGATGATTTGATTTTTTGTTTTGGGTATGGATACAGGAGACTTCACCAATGAAACTAGTTGGAGCCTTGTACGCGAAGGACCTTTCATGTATTCACTAAGGTTGCGTTTGGTTGGATGATTTGATGAGAGAAATGAAAAAGAAAAAAGAAATGGAAATATAATTTTACTTTTTGTTTGGTAATAATAGAAAATACAAGAGAAAAGAAAGTAAGAGAGAAATGAGTTAAAAAATGAGGTATCTTCTAGAACTTTATTTCCTTCATGTCTATGAGAAAAGAAACAGGAAAAGCGGAGGGAAAAGTATGTTGGGCTCAAAAAAGAGATGATTGCTCAATTTGGTTCAAAACACAGAGGATTGTTTCAGTAAATTCAGTCCAAAAACAATATTTGAATTGCTCTCAAAACACTAGTTTTCTTAAGAGTGAAGAGAGAAGTGCCAAGAAAAGGTGAGATTGAGGATTTTTATCCAATTTCAATTAAGCCAAATATAGTTTGGAATCTGAATTTTACCAATTATTTCTCTTTTTCTTTCTATTTTTTTTTATTCTTTTTTCATTTCTCATAAAATCTCTTTGAATGACGAAAGAAAGAAAATGGTTCGTCATTGTTAGTTTAGCTGAGAAAAATGAAAATTTGATGTTTGTTTGTTTTATTTTTTTTAGTGATTTTATTATCATATTTTTTTTTTGAAATAATTGGCAAAAATTCACCATTTAAAAATTGTTGTAAGGAATGTTCTTAATTGGTTATAATGATAGGGTTTGACTTCTCTTATATTATCATTTCAATTTGAGAGTGTTTAAATTTAGTAAATCTATTTTGGGACTGATTTTAATAACTCGAACAGTTTATTTTTTAAAAATTATTGAGTAGAATATTCATGTAAAAAATCAAGATGGATGGATATGGTAGCAATATGTTTTAATCATATTTGCTTTAAAAAAATGGATGACAAATATAATTTCAAGAATAGTCATCTATTTTTTGTAATACAAATTTGATTCAAATATATAGCTATCGATATTCAATCATCTTAATTTTTTATATGAATATTTTACTCGTCAAGTTCTAAAAATGAACGGTTCAGATTATCGAAATTAATTCAAAATAGGCTTACCAAACTCAGACATTCTTTTAAATTGAGATGACCAACTTGAGAGAAATCATAAGCATAATGACATGCGTGGGGAATTTGGTTGTCGAGCCCAGACATGCCGCAAGAATAATTCATAACATCTGATCTCTTTAAATTATCTTAACTTATGTTGTAAGACACATTTTCGAGACCTAATATTATAATATAATGTAATAATTTTGTGTAAGGCAAAATATATATTAAGACTTTGGGTGTAGTTTCTTATAACTACACCTTATGATATAGTGAGGGAAAAATCAGAGATTTAAACTAATGAAATAGATGACCCTTTAATTATAATTTAATTTTACTAATAAACTAACATCTTCCGAGATCCATTTTGGTATTGTTAAGTGGCCTTTTCAAGCATAAAGGAAATGTGGACGGACTTCTTTTCAGATATTTGTCTAATTGTTATTGAAACAATATTTAAGACCCTTATAAATTTTTCACAATTCAATCCACAATGATGTAATCTGACAAGTATCAATTTTTGATTGGTTAAATAGTTAATGATATTGAATTTATCACTTTTACCATATCATTATAGATATATTTATAAACACAAAATGTAAACCTTTAACATTGTTGTTTTTTTTGAGCAAAGTCATTACTATTATGACAAGTCGAGTACATTGAATATTAGATAAGAAAAGCGAAAAGGTTCATTGAACCTTGCTTGGGGAAGAAACACTTCCAGTTTTTTTTTTTCTTTTTATAAATGATTTTGTGACCCACTTACTAGTAAATAAAGTCAGATATGCAATTAATATAAAAATAATAATAATAATAATAACAAAAAGACATGCAATGAATAAAAAGTTGATCATTTGGACTTTCGGGGCACATGACAATATTCAAGTAAAAAAATAAAAAAGAGAGCGAATGACCCATGGTAGGGGACGAATCCCTTTTATCTGCCCACCTCTCGGTTATTATTTTGGCATTTCGAAATAGGTTATTTTAATTATTTTTTAAATTTTTTATAAAAAAATATTTATAAAATAGAAAGAGTGATGTGATTGGATGTTTTGAGTTATTTTAGTTCTAACCCAACTTGCCAAATGGAATATGCAAGACATAGGTTGAAAAGAAAATCATAAACCACTCTGATACGGATTAAATTGTATAATTTGATTTAATTTTCTTAATATATAGTTTAATTTTGATTTTTAAAATCAATTGTACTTCATAATTCTATCTGTGATTTTATAGTTACGGTTTCGATTTGAAATAGAACTAGGTTGTTTATATATATATATATATAGGGATTGGTTTGTCTCCGGTTGAAAATTGAACTGGACCAAACAATTGAGATTTTTGACCGGTAAGAATAATTAAACTGAAAACTCTGATTGATAAGAGTACTTGAAAAAATTCAACTAGGCCATATTTTCATAAACTCTTATCAGTAAGAGTTTTCTGATTCTTATTAGTCAAAAAACTCAACTGTCTGATCCAGTTTAACTTTTAACTGAAAACAAGCCAAATCTATATATATATATATATGATTTGTTAACTCATTACTGTTTCAAGCTTTTTTTCTTTTTCTTTCTTTTTTCTTTATCACATTACTGTTTCTAGTTTGCTTAAAGGTTTTTGCATATAATAGTTCTAAACAATCATTTAAATAATTTTGTTTATAAAAATAATGATATATTGTTTGAACTTGGAGCAAATTGTGAATAATGATAAAGTTTATAAAAATCGTGATTTCGAACCAAATCAAACCAAGATTTTTTGGTTCAGTTTGGTTTACTTATTAGATTTTTATGGCTTGATTTAATTCTATGAAACTATAAGTAGTGATTTAATTTTAATTTACTTCAAAATCGAACCATGTTCATCCTTAGTATGACCATGATTCGGTTTTTTTTTTTTTTTTCCCCTTCGTATAAAATGCAAAAAACATTCACACTATTTGATTTTGAGTTTTTAAAAATAATTTTTGTATTTGTTTTTAGTTCATCTTTTTTGTATCTTAGTCAAAAATATATATATATATATATATATGCACCTAATCTAAATGTACTAAAAAGATTTTTTAAAAAAATCTAAAAAACAATTCAATAAATACAAAAAATACAAAAAAGCATGAATTTTTGTATTTTTTTTTTATATTTAGTGAATTTTTTTACATTTTTTTTTTATACTTTTAAGCATATCTAGATTAGGTTAATTTAAAAAGTTAAAAATTGATTAAAATATTTAAAAATTTACTAAAAATTTAAAAATTTAAAAATTCAAATTAAAATTTTAAAATCTATCTTTAAAACTCCAAAACTAAACAGAATCTAGCTCTTGCCGAACTCAATGGACAAAAGTGCCCCATTAAAATCTTACTAAAGAGTTAGTTTTGCCTATTTACAAAATAACAAAACAAAAACAAATAAAACAAAACTTGAAATACTTAGGTCAAAGGTCCAATTTTTGGATTTTAAGGTCAAAAGAATATGCATTATGTATTGGACAACTTTGCCCTTGTGATTGTTTTGTATTTGAAAACTTTAAAATCTCACAATTTAATTTCTACAAATTCATTTTTAATAAAATTGATATTTTTAAATTTATTTTTTTGAGATTTTTTAAACAAGATTTATGTTGACTATAAAGCTTTAAAAAGAAAAAAAAAATAAAGACAAACATTTATATCTATAAAAAATGAGATTTGTACGCTTTTAGATTAAAATGGGAACATATATGTCTAATTTTGTACTTAGAAATCATAAAATTGGGTTGAAAAGTGGGAGACAGATATATCTATCTGTTCATTTTTAAATTAAAAAATAGAGACATATATATATATATATATATATATATAAAGTATAATTTTGTATCAAGATTGAATAGCAACAAAATAAGTTGGAGGCAAGTAAGAAGTTATTTATCACAAACCCTTTAGAACACCTCCTTCAGAGCTCAACTTGAACCCACTCTCCTCAATAAATTGGTTGAGGCTTTTGATATTCCCCAATTGAGATTTCAGATGATGCGTGGATATAGTGACATGATTAACTGCATAACCATTGACAAGAGTCCAGGCAGCATATTCACTTTCCCTGAAAATACATAAATCAAACAGTAACAGTTGTCCCCATTTGATGGGACTTAAGGCTTGGATTGGTTTAAACAGTAACAGTTGTAGAATGACTGATGTCATAATTAATCCTGCTAATATAAAGTTCCAAACTAAATTTACGCAACTAATCCAGTGACAGAACAAAACCACAACAAAGTAACGAAATTTTGGATTATTGACTTTGGAATCCCTTCCACTGGGAGATATACAAAAAATTGTTAACATAAACATGTAGACACACATCAACAGATAAATGAAAATTATATACCTAGCCAATTGTTGGAATTCAGAATATAAGGGCTTTTCCCATGTCAAAGAGCCCAGTGCACTTGCAAGAGCTGCATGTTTGTTTCCGCGACCTGATATTTCGGTGTATTTTCTAATTATTTCCTGCATGTAGGATTTCTTTCTAATTTATTTTAGCAAAAGTAACTTTTTAA